ACCAGTAAATTTCCGGACACGTGGTGATGCCCAGCTATGGTGCATATCGAACTGCAGCACTACCTTGCTTGACCTATGGACCTGTCTAACCCCCGTGCATGCCCCAGGTTGCCGATTGCAGCGATCCGGCTAGTTTACTCCGGTCAACGATAGCTGCCTTACCTATTGCCTACCTACAAAGTACGTACGAGTGGGCTACATACATGACATGATTACCCACCCAAGCTATCAATCATCCTAGGTTAGACAGTTGTACCCATAGGACTACTTCAGCCCTTACATATACCACAGAGGTCCGATCGCAGATGTCTGGAAGTAGCCTAGAGTCAAGCTGAAAGGGAGAAAGAAAGGAAGAACAAAGCCTCGGTAGAAAAGAGCACGTTTTCCCATCTGAGATATGTGGCTCCGCGAGTCATTTTTTCCTCGCAGCCCTCTTCTAATCTAGTGTACGTCATGATGAGGTTACGGGCAATGCAAAAGAGTTGAGTGATACAGTGGGGGGAGGCTTTGGGAGGGGCTCGAGGGGGCTTTTCCACTAACAACTTGTCGCAGAAAACGCGCTGCGATGTAGGTAGATTAGGTACCTACATACTCAAGTGCTACTTATCTCACCGCCCGCCGCCATCTGATGTCGACACGCTGACTGACTTTGCAATAAGAAACCTGATACGCACGCTACTTGCCGAGTGAACGTGGAGTCGCAGCGTACTTTGCAATGGCACCTCTAACCCAGAATATGTTTACCTACTGTAGGTAAATGTCTGGTATCTAACTTTGGCATGGCCATGCAGTCCAGCATGACTGTCGATCTCCCGCAACTCGCCTATACCTGCTCTAGCAGGGATCGTACAATAGGGCTGTTGATGCCAAGACTACCTAGGTTACCTACCGCAGTTCTTGCAAGACTTGTTGTCCTCATCTCGACACTTTGTATTGCCAACGGGAGTTGCCAGCCAAGAGAATTTTTCCACAGCATCAAAAATTGACTAAATTAAACAAAAATATAGACGACTTCTACCTCTGTCATGATCGATTTTCTGTTCTTGAAGTTATCCCAATCTGGCCAAGACGGATAAATACAATACGCGGGTGAGAGGAATGAGGCGATAGTTTACGTACAATCAACTCGTACGCACACTCAAACACTGCGGCACTATGCGTCACGCCTCTAGCTGCGCTGAGCTTGGGCATATTTTCTTGAACCCCTTCAATTTCTTGCTGCGCTTGTCGCGGATGACTCCAGAACTGACGGCGATCCCGTTCGATCCGATTCCCAGTACCGTCAATGCTTTCGATATTCGGGTATAATTTCCCAGGAAACAATGGGCTCTGGCATCCATCCCGCTGGTGATGCCGTGGCCCAATGTTGTAGCCCAGGTTCCGCCCATTCGAAGCGTATGTGCTTGTGCATCTGCGTCAGGTTCCAACAAGATTGAGTAGACTGTGCCCGAATAGACCACCGCCCCAGTTGCAAAAAAGGCTGGAAAAGTCCACGAGCCTTTGTGTACAATGGGATGGTACGGGGTGATGAGGAGGGACTTGTTAATCCTGCACATGATCACTTCGCGTACTCGGGTCCTCAAGACTACTGCCACCTTGCGACCTCCAGCTGCTGTTTGAACTACAGAGCCCTCGCGCAGAATGCTGACGGCGACATCCTGGCCCGTGGCTAAGGTGACCATACTCGAGGCTGAGAAGCAAGGGTTGTCACTCCTGTTGTACGAAGACATGGACACGGTCGCTCTGCCGTCGCTGTACTTTCCATCGGCTTGGGATCTGAGACTGGGCTCTGGGGGCCGGACGGACGTGTCAAATGCCGATATCAACTTCTTTTGGCACCCCAGGAAGAGCGGGCTATCGACATCATACTGTTGGACGCCGGGGTCCTTGAAGGTGTTGCGCATCTGATGAACATGCGCATCCCACAGACTGAGAAAGTAATGCAATCCCCATGTGCAAAGGTAGTCGTTGTCAAAGACTGCCAGCTTGACCTGCCCTTGCAAGTCCTGCATCAATGACTTGTTGTAAGCATCGTCAAAATCCTTGGCTGGGATGTTCTTGCACAAGGTATCGAATCTCTCTCGAGCCGAGACCATGGTTTCCGTGTCCAAGTCCACCGCTTTGCGCTCACCACTTTCCCCGAGCGGGAAAAATGAGGATAGATACCTGCAGATCATGGCGCGGCTCTGGTGGTAGGATACTTTCCAGTCAGGTAATGAGGTTGCCTCTCGTCCATTGCGCTGGGCCTTGACTACAAATTGAGCCTGACCCATTCGCAAGTAGGAAAGCTCTGCACTCATAGCCAGCTCGCCAATATGCATCTTATTCCAGTCCACTTTGTGGCTGCTGCTGAAATATACAGTCCGAGACTGACCGTAATGTATATTGCCGAGGGGAATTATCAGACTTCTTTTCTGGGGGCTATTGGACCTGAGCGTGAGACCAGAAGTCAAAGTGTCGAGATCATCCTGTCCCTTGCTTCCAGCTGTCTCTTCCACAGACCCATTTTGTAAGCTCAACTTCTCGTCACAAGTCAGTTTCAGTATACACCTGTTGGCAAATGTAGACTGAAGGTGCGCCACGGCATTGACGAAAACGGTCCCCTGAGTCTTGTTAACTTTTGAAGCGTGTTTCGAGATCAATATCTTCGTATCTCAAGACTTACCACCATTCCAGCATCTGGTATGAACGAATAATTACCACCTCCGACCTCGGCGATGGATTTCAATAGGTCTGACATGATGTCGTTGCCGAAGCCAAAAGTATGAATAGCTGCCGGCAGTGGTGTCATATTTTGAATGCTTCCAACATACCCCTGAAGTGGAACTCTGAGGTCATGTGAGTTTGATATACCCTGAAACATCATGAGGTCGGTATTTGATCATGCTTACTGGCCATTTGGCTGACCATCTGTCAATAGCAAGATCGCTGGATTTCGACCCGAACTCTCTTGGTCTTTGAAGAGATTGATGCCTTTCAAGATACCTTGCCAGAGGTTCGTTGAGTTTTCTACCTCCAGCCCTCTGATGAGACCATCCGCAGCTAGCTTGTTATCCGAGTTCATGAACTCAAGCTCTTGTAGGACCTACCAATGGCTTTAGCTTGATTCCAGGAAGCCAAGATCTATACCAGAAAGCAGAGAAGCAAAATAATAACTCACCTCTGCCTGATCACTGAATTTCACAATGCCCAGTCGATCACTACCATCCAATGTCTCTAGCACTGTCAGTGCAGCGTGTTTCGCTATGTCAAGAACCGAGAACCCTGGATGCTCTCGAGTTACTTGTCCCTTCTTGTCGAAGCCGACGACAGGGGCTGCATCAAACATGCTGTAGCTCACGTCGATGACCAGAACAATATCGCAGGGCACGTGCTCGATACTTTTATTGTTTGGGCATCGTGGAGGCTTGACCTCGACTAGGACCCCACCACATGATGCAACAGGATTAATCGATAACAGTATGTCATCTGCCAGGATGGAGGTAGATATGATGTTCTGTGATCTTGTTTCGACAGCCGTGGTAGGGTTACGATTATCGTCGGGCACTTCAAGTTCAATTCGAGTCTAGGAAATAATTATTAGAAAGTAAGTGTTCAGGAAATGGCAAAGGGCTTGTACCATCGTTTTTAGTGTTACAGTGGATAAGTAGAGGGCAATTGAATGTTGTCTATTGCGAATAAAGTGTTCCGAGGTAAATAAAGCGAGATAATCTTTGTGCTCAGTTCACGCACAATGGCTGCAAATCACGAAATAGATGCCTGAATCGGCAAGACACGCAAAGAATATGTCGGTTCCAAGTTCAATCGATGCGTTCCTAGGTTGGCTCTTATACAGCATATAAACCACCGTGTATTCCCCATACCTCGATTCCCTTGTACTTGAGCTAGAGGCTTCCTTCAATAGCCTCAGTCATTCAGCCGGCTCCAACTTTGAATTGAGCTCGGTTCTTTAACTAATGCATTAACTAGTATCGATACCCTAGTTTGCAAGATCCCAGATCGTGGATCTCTACTATGTAGATCAAATCATGTAGCGAGACAAAGCACATCGAATCGTGGCTTCATGCCAGGAGTTGGGAGTGCCCTAGGAATTTGGTCACGCCCTGGAAAGTTTGCCTGTTGCCCAATAATGCGTGGTAAACTCACGCGATACGTAAATAGCAGCATCACATTCCTAGACGGGAGATTTACATTGTGAACGTATAGAAATGGTCCCTCTCCGTGCCGTTTATCGAGTTCACGGACTACATAGCAGGCCTGGTATACTCTTAAAATACGAGACGTCTAGTTAGATGATTGACTCGTAAAGACGCTTTGGCGCTTTGAGCCGGAAGGATTCCAACACCAACACAGTCTGCCTTACAGCTGGCTTAGTGTCATTTAGACGGCGGACACCGACGCAGTCAGGCGGGCTCTACTTTGGAAAACTAAACAAGATCGTCCTTCGTGATGTGTGGACCAAATATCAGTAATAATCGAGCATCTGAAAGGCGAAACATAGCCGGTATTCAAGCAAAAGAATATCATCTAACATAATCCGCTATGATAGCTGACCAACGAAGTGTATTAACTCCGCACGGCCGGTAGCCGCTTAGGATAGACCAGTGTAGCTGCGCCTCGGCCAAGTACAAAGTATGCCTGGAGGGAGCAGAATCATTTGTTGGTTGTTAGTCATAGTTTAGGTGATAGATATAACCTTACCCACTCCAACGGCAGGCCTCGACAAGTGGCTCGTGTACATGTAGATTCGGGATTGCAAATGTGAATGGTTTCGAGCATGCAAACAACTCATGGTCCTTGAAGCGGCATAACTGAAAGGAATACAAAAGGATACTAATCTCAATTGATTCTGAGTGAAGTGTAACGTAATAGTGTTTCGCCCTTTCGTCGTGTGTATGCAGGTGAGCAGAAAACTCAATTAGCAGGCCCCTCATTTGCGTCATTTATGACTAGTGGACATCATTTGCAATAAGCTCCAACTCTTCAACGAACTAGAATCGGATGTTGTAGTATAGTGGTCAGTACATCACGTTGTGGTGTGAGCAATCACCTGCAACCACGGAACACCTCCGTGAAGACCCCGGTTCGATTCCGGGCAACGTCAAGTCCAGCAGAAATATCTGGTTTTTTTTTTTTGAATTTTTGGGTGGTTGATTCATTTGTGCGGGGCAATCTCTCGTTTTGCTTTGGTGCAATCCGTGCCGTGGTTGCCTTTAATTTATGGCCATATATCCATCTTACCTATAATTGAAACTTTTGGGCGACCTAACATGAATGATGTCTCTCGCAATCTGGGCTTTCGTTGATCATCAAGACATGATGAACTGGGCAGTTGCTTCTTGTCCGTCTTTTCCCACTTGCCTTTTGGCGTACTTTGAATCTCTTTGTCCAAAGTGATAAAAAGCGCGGGGTTCTTTTGTTTGCCCCGCATCTGTTGTCAGCATTTCTCGTCAGTGTGTGTGTGTACTACGGGGGATTACATACCTTGAGAGGCTTAATGACGAGAACAGATTAGCAAGAGGATTGGAAAGCTTTCAAGTCGTTTAACGCTGAGAACTGACCCGTTTTGTCTGATTCATATACCGTCTCGAAAGATATCCTTTGATTGTCATCGTACGAGCCTGAATTCAACCGCGATAGATATTAAGTAGTTGACAGCCCCTCAGAGAGTCTTTGTATCTGGTCTCCTAATAATTGCCTATCTTCAGAAGAGTCAAGCCCAATTCGATCAAATCATAATGATTCACATTAAGCATCTTCTTTCCCACAGATTGTACACATTAGCAATCATCAACGTCCATGTGCAGTAACAATCAGATCACATATTTATTCATTTTCCATTCTGGCAGTAACGTACTAGCCCAATTGGGAAGTTTCTTACTTGGAGCGCCAGAGCTCCGACCGATTTTTTCTCTCTTGCTTTTTTTCCCCCTTCCTTCCAAATTTTTTTAAACTCCTGAACGAACCTTTGACTCGACAGCAACTCAAGTATCCAGAGTTTCCTCCACAGATCATCATCATGCCCATCAGCAAGAAGGATAGAGTATGTGATAAAACGCAATCCCGTGCAGTAGGATCAATGCAATTGTGACCTGCTTGCAACAAACGCATACATGCACACACACACATCAGTTTTACTGACCTTACAACTCGCCACTAGAGAGCCCGTGAGCAGAAGGCCGCCGACAAGGCCGGTACTCGCACCGCCGTCAAGGCAAACGGTCTTCCGGTCAAGGCTCCCAAGCCCACGTCCATCGTAAGGCTTGACTTGATAAAAAAAACAAAAGCCCTTGACGGGTATATCGCATGCACGTGACTAACCCGGTCGATTCAGTGCCAAAACTGCCGCAAGGAGATTGTCAACACCAACAAGATCCAGCTCGAGGTACACGCTGGCACCCACGATGCCAAGCTCTGGCCCAAGGAGAAGTGCTGGCCCAACGACTTTTAAGCGATCATGGGTTCAGTTTGGCAGACTTGGTGGTCCCGAAGAATGACCCAATTTTCGTCGGAGGTGGAAATTGAGAATATTCGAACCTGATCTCATCAGAAATGGCCTCTTTGCGCCCAAGTCAGAGAGGCGGCAATGTACACCGCTTGTGGTTACAAGCAAAACGCGCATCAAGAAACATTGGAGTTGTAAGGAGTTCGGCCGAGACAATCAGGGCCAGGAAGTCATTATGGTTGCATTTTAACAAGAAATGAATTCAAGCCACCTAGGAGGCATTCGTGAATCGAGGAATGCATCTTTTGAGTGACCATCTACCCTCTTCTTTTTTTCTCTCGAGTGCATTGCAGTCTCAGTGAGGGCAGCTGAATTGTGAAGAGTCTTGGTTGTCATTGATTCACATTTGCGGACAAGAGTGATATATAAAGTCCCGTTCCGATCCGGCGTTCGGCATTCCTTATCAATAAGAATATGTTCCAGTACAGTAACAATTCCTCGGTAATAAACATAGAGCGTTGGACACTTGAAACCATCAGGATCAAATCTCTGGCTAGGTTCGCAGTCATGGTACAGAAAAAGACGCCTCGGCTCACTCAGGATGGCTGGGTTGCAACTGCGCCTGCACAATCTTTAACAGCAATATCCATGGTTGTAGCATTTGCTCAGACTTTCTTCACCGTCCGAGGCGGAAGCAGCGGCAAGGGTGAGACATCGAAAGAGAAGCCTTCAAGAATCACGAGCAACAAGCCGACGAGGACAATGGGAACCAAGCTATTCAGGTTGGAAGGCGAAGAGGAATGAGACGAAAATATGTCAGATATGATAGGGTCGGGAACAGTCAATGAGAAATAAGCAAGACTTTTAAAATGTTACTACTATCGGAGTATATAATCTATGGCATATCATATTTGTCGTTCGGGTATCGATACATTCATTAGGAAACACGGCCGCCTCGGCTACATCAGCTCCTTTAAGAGGAGAAGTGAGGAGCATTGAGGAAGAGACCCATCAGGACACCTCCGAGGGTACCGGCAATGGGAATGGTCATGATCCAGGACAGGACCAAGAGACCAACACGCTGCCAGTTGACAGCCCTGATGTGACCGTTGCACAGACCGACGCCGACGGTGGCTCCCGTAATGCACATGGAAGTCGACACGGGGAGCGAGAACTGAGAAAAGATCAAGACGGTGATGGCAGCACCCATCTCCATGGACGAGCCACGCGAGGGAGAGTGGTAGGTGAGCTTGTTGCCCATAACTAGAGATGGAGTCAGTAAATAGTTAAAAAGTAAACGATGCGTGGAGAGTGATGGCTTACCCTTCATGATGTTGTAGCCATAAGTGATTAGACCCAGCGAGATCATGATGGCAAGCACAGCCAGTTGCCAGACGGGGACGGCGGCCTTGGAAGCAGCAGCGCTGCCGGTGGACCAGGCAGAGTAGATGACGGCCCAGGGACCGACAGAGTTACCGATATCGTTGGCGCCGTGAGCAAAGGAGGCAGTGCAGGCAGTGATGATCTGGATGAAGGAGAAGGAGTGCTCGACCTCGTTGGGGTACTTCTCGGCGTAGGAGTAGACTCTCTGCATGCGGGCACCCTCGGGAGTTCCCTCGACACCGGTCTGAGCTGTGTGAATGTCATAGTAGAAACCGTAGAGACCACCGGCGACGATCATGGCGGGAATGCGCTTCATCATGATCTTGATGTTGGAGAGTTCGTAGATCTCACCAGGGCCCATGGGTGTGTCACGGAGAGTGCGCATGGCCCAGCCCATTGGACCCTTCTTCTTCAAGAGCTTGGCCTTGTGCCTGCGCTCGCCAGCCTCAGCCAGCTCCTTGTAGGTAAGCTGCTTGGCCTCGGTCTGGACAAGCTTCTTCTCGTTGTCCTCGGTAGATTCGCTGTTGGCCACAACACCATCGGCTGATTCGGTAAAGGACTTGTCAGAGTGGGCAGAGCTGTGGTGCTCCTCATCTTCCTGGACGACGGCGTAGTTGGGAACCTTGGCCTGCTCAGCACCCTCGACGACGGGGCGCTTGAAGAGAGCAGGGCCGTAGATGAACATCCACCACTTGACGCTGTGGTCCTTGTTGATGACCTTTGCGTAGACGTAAGGGACGAAGAAAATGGCCGAGAGGATAAAGAGTCCAGCACCGACGCCCACGACAACGGCGGCAATGTACCAAGAGGGCTTCTTGTTGAGACCGAGGTTGGGAGATCCCTTGTAGACAATGGACAGGGTGCAGATGGTGCCGGCAATCAGGAAGAAGAACGGCGAAGCCCAGACGGACCAGGGCACGGGGTTCTTGCGCATGTGCACAACGACCTTGATGAGCATGAAAATGGTGGCAGCAAAGCCGGCAGAAATGGCCGGAGCCATGAAGAGACCGGCGAAAATGGCACCGAGACCCTTTCCGCCATACCATCCCCACTGAACCTGGCTGGCACCGACGGTGGCGACACCGACACCAGCAACGGCCGAGATCAGCGAGTATGTCGAAGAAACGTGAGCAGAGTGGCGTGTGCACCACATGACCCAGGTGGAAGCAGCAGCCAGAGCACAGGTGAATGCAAGCATCTGGACACCAGCATCACCGCGGAAGGCCTCGTTGGGAATGATGTTGTTCTTGATCGTATCGGCAGTACGAGCACCGACTAGGATGGCACCAAGGAGTTCGAAAATGGTACCTAGGACCATGGCTTGCCTGTAAGAGATGGATCTTGAAGAGACACTGGTAGCCCAAGCGTTGGCAACATCGTCTATAGAGTTTCATTAGTCTCTTGATCAGGTATCTGGTTATCGTGCCAGCATTTCTCATCGGACGATCGCGGCCAGGAGCGTCGAGTCCTCGGGAACATGGAAATCTAGAAGAGGCCACTACTTACTTGCACCGTTGTTGTATGCATCAAGCATGGCAAACAACGTGCCGATAACGAACACATAAGTGTACTGTTCGAGCGCCATTTTGATTAAGAAATTGCCGGCGAGCTGGCTTATCCGCAGTACAGTGGTGTGTCTTGCTGGTTTGAATTGCTGACGCCCAGAGTTCAAGCAGACTGACAAGAAGAGCGAGATCGAGAGCTTTTATCTGAACTCTTTCCTCTTGGCTCGGCGCTGCAGTACCACGCAAGGAATGCCTCCATTATGTCTTGGCCGTCTGTCTTTTCGAGTCTTGGCCTTCTTGCAACATCCCACACTTACCTGGATGGGACACCGACGTCCGAGGATGGCGTATAGAACTGGGAGACATTGACTAGATTGATCCACGATATGGGCCAACCCAAGCAGCGATACGGTTGTGCCACCCTATCCTGCGCCTGCGCGTTGCGGCATTGCGATGTGTGATTCGCCAGCACCGCCAAGAATCAAATGGCAACGGGCAAACGCAGTCGACGCCCGTCTGCACCGTCGTCTGCGTGGCCTCGAACTTCCTAGAATTTGCGAAGCTGAAGCCGCTACCGAGATATTCATTCTTGGCAGGTCTCGAAAGGGTGTTTATATCCGCGAAGATGGCTTGGGATGGGTACGGACCGGAGCAGGCCTCTGCCATGGCGGCGCGGATGAGGCTCTTAGCGGGGCTTGGCTGCAGCGTGAGGATTTCCCCGGACTCTCGAATGAGAGCGCGCCAACACCCCACGTGGGTGGTCTTTATGGTCTATATGGACGATCTCCCGCCAAGACCCTGAGAGTTTGCGTGTAAGTCAATCGTCAGAACCATGTCAAATGCATGCTCACTGGACCTACCAGCCATAAGCCCATGGCCTCACGTCCGTGCAACCGAGTTTTTCCACTCTTCTCTCGCTCTCATTCGGCATTCCTCTCCATCTTGCAATGTATGCATGGAACCACCAGAACAACTAGAAAGAAGGCTGCTAATGTAAGACGCCCGCCCACCCAACACAATGGCACACAATTACAGCACTCGATTGCCGCACGTGTTTTTACTATCCATGAAACCGCGGCTCCCTATTGGCCACAGCTCCCGTCGAGCTCGGTTTCCAAATACTATATGCACTATTCAATAACACTGGAGAACGCAACGGCCTGACCCAAGCCACCGGGTCTGGGCAAAGACGCCGCCGGTTCTCATCGGTCGCCTGGACCTCATCCACTCCGAGCGGAATTTTGTTCTCATGCCTAATACTGGCTGGCTGTTTTGCGACCAAATTCGAGTATCTAGCCATGCAATAGCCACGAAAGTATGTGGTGGTCGTGTTCATTGATATGTTTGGATGTCTGGTCAACGAAGAAGCCGCCACTTGGACGACCTGGATGCTCATCAGCTCGCCGTGGCAAAAACTCTGTTCTGCCAAGACAGATTTACGTTTCCTTCCCAGTCTTTTTCTCCTCAAGCATTTGACCACTCGGCTTTTCAGCGGGCTTGGCGTATAGTCGATGCTTATATGACATCTTCGATCCTTCTCGTGTCATTGGAGGGCCGATGATCGTCCATCGATTTCTCATTTCTGGCACCCAAGGGATGCTTCCAGTGAGTGGAGAAGATGAATATGTCACTCTGATCCTTTGACAGGTTTTGATTCAAACGTAGCTCTTGGGATAGATGAAGCACTCTTTTTCAAGACACCGAACTTTAGAGTGAAAGATGATCGTATGTCACCAGTGAATGTCACAACTACTTCATGGACCCGAGCCAAGTCACGCGATCAAGTCTTATTGAGCCCTATTATCAAATATTGACGATCCACGCTTCCAGAAACTTTCTTGTTAGCGTTTCCGTCAGCTCTGCATTGCTGCTACCTGCAGCATGTGCCATGCAGGGCAAGCGGAGATTCCGTTCAAGGGACCCCTTGATGACGATGGCATACACAGTACGAGCCAAGCGCGCATTGCGAAAGGCCCGGGTATATAACAATGTATTCCGGAGGCCCGCTGATCAGCGAATCAGGTCATGCTAACCTCGTGCTGCCTTCCGAAAACGGATACCGACTCACAGCCACAAGTACGGGTTGACCGATCGCCTATCATGTCCTTGGTCAGCCACAATAGTATACAAGTTATATGCCGTGTGACAACTGCCATGAATTGGCCTGACTTGATATGTACGAGGACGTGACGGTCCGAAATATCTTTGGCAAATCGCATTATAACATTACATCTAATAACTACCAGATGAAATGGGGAAGCATGTTAAGTTTCTCCATTACACCGATCATTGTTTTAAACTTCGCTTGTTATCTCAGGCCATATATGAAGCTGATCAGCAGTATTTTCGTTATAGTGAAATTGTTATTACAAATAACATGTGCACTTAGCTCTTAATACACTGTTATATAAATAGTCCTGATTCAGCTTCCTGTAACTACGTGTCTATAGATAGAGTCACTCTTTTATCCTAGGAAGAACTGCTAGAAGAGCAAATACAAAGGATTAATAGATACTGCCATTTTCTATATCTTCTGACTCGTAATACAATAGGCTCATCCCACATTAATAGATTCTTACCAGAGAGTGGACTGGACAATTGACATTATTAACTCAACTCTCGTCGTTAATTAAATTGCTACGCATATATGATAACTCAGGAACACAGCACAACGTCCATTCATATTTGATAATGCGAAAATATATAATATGATGCTGGGTACAAGATAACAAATTGCGATTTTATATCAAGAAGCAAAAATGATCGAACCCAGGCTCGAACTGGGGACCTCTTGTGAACATCTTTGATGTGAGACAAGCGTGATAACCACTACACCACTCGACCACCATGAAACCCATGAGGCTTATGTCAATTCACGATAGCTTTGTTTCTCCGCAGCTTCAAGCGCTGCGTATTTCAGCAATTAGTAATATATCGAGTTGGGCGACGAGTTCAGCGGACGTTTGTTTTGACTGGGGCGATGTTGGATTGAGGCCGTCCTTTTAGCGACTTGGGCATGTTTATAATGAGGAGATTGTTCTTTCGACAGATCCCCTCAGCAAACAGTCATCGATTTGAGCACTAGCTAGAAGAGATTGAGTGAACGAAGTGAAGCTTCAGTCAATCATTCTGGGATTTCGGTGAGTCTTTTTGGCAATATGCAATGAACTCACCATCGATCAGCTTCGGAGTCCTCATTTTCATAATGTATACTTCGAGGCATCGCATAATAATAACTATTTCCCCTACCGTACTGTTTATTGCTGGAGAGTCTGGGATGCACCGAGCAAATTCTTATCTCCCAATGATATGAGACGCGTCGACGCCTAGATTAGCGAACGGTGAATATTATTGATCTCAAGGATTTGGAGGAGAAATCCTGCTTAGTGGCCAGGATTTTGCGTATTCCAAATATGCAAAAATGCAAAAACATACAACACCGGGGATTCCCCAGCCGTCACCGATCTGAGTACTAATCCAGCGGTTACTAGTTTATCTAGGGCAGAGCGGACGGGATGCCGAGTTCTCTAGTACCTATGGTCGTATGTGCTTGATTGGTTAAATATCACAAAATATATCCCAAGTAAAAAAGAGGTGGGCGACGAAATTGTATGATGTGGTCCCTCCTATTTATAGTGATTGGCCGCTTGCCAACTCCAATTTGAATCATCGGAAAGTAGCCTGATTGATTATAAGATATAAGAAATATGAAAATGAATGAGTCTCTATTGCTTCACTTTCTTATTTCCCCCTTATGGTCTTCCTTAGTATATTTGACAAAAGGAAAAATCTTGTCAATTTGTACTAGGGACGCATTAAACCGACCTATGCTTATCGTAGACCATTGATCCTCTGCCTCAGCAAATCATTAAATAAACGTAATAGTCCTCATCCTGCGTCATAGCTTTCAAAAGAATTGTAAGATGAAAAGCACCTGTGGCAAGTAAAACGTTGTGGCAGAGAGATATTTCCTTTGCTGCTCATGATCACCTCGTCGGTCTTGGCAGTATTAAAGCAGCTTCAACTCAACTAATATTTAAGTGGTTCATGTCCTGCAACGCAGGCAGGAGCAAAACAAAACAATACAAAACGCTTAATCTGGATGGATGTTATAGAGAATAATGGCGAACACTATTGTATAAAGGGATAATTGACCAAGTATCGATTATGTTACCAAGTTGTGAAGTCTAATAGCAATATTGACAAGGACATTAATCTATCAATGTGGCTCAAATCTGGAGTGAGCTAATGTGCCATAAAAGTAGATATTGAAAGGTTGAAAACCCCCTGGCCTATCTGAAGCTGCAGTACAGGTGCCCTGCATAATGCGACATGAGAATTTACTTGCAGAGTACTTGAGGTCAGAAGGGTGTATGAATGTGCAGCACTTTGAGACCGAAGCTTCCAAAAGCTCCCCAAAGGAGGTGCAGCCTCTGAGTGCTGGAGCTTGGTTGCTTGGCTCGGGGTCGGACCCGCCAAGTCTGGGGGAGCTTCCCTAGTTAGCCGTCCGGGGCTAGGTTGTGTGTTTCGTGTTCAATTGCCAGCTCACTGCTCGACCTCGGGGTTTCAACACCACAAACCTCTTTCCATCGTCGACCACGATTGAGGTTGCACTCACACGATAAAGAAAATGAAGCAAGCACAGGCTTTGGTGCTTCTGGGCACTGCTGCTGTCAACAGCGGGCTCGTGGCTGCTGGTTCAGTCCCAAGGGGCGTTGGTCCTGAGTGTAAGTGGCACCCTCTGGGTTCACCTACCTAGACATTGTCATCACCGCCATCGCTCTACTCCCATGCACCAGCTGGATAACATTGATACAATGGCGACAGCTGAAGCTGGAATGGCATTCTTCAACGTGCCCGCTACTACTCTAAACCTCCAAACCCTCGCTCGGCCTTGCTGATTTACTTGATCTACCGCGCTAATCACCTGGGCCATACAGTTGCCCGATTCTACGAACTGGACAAGTTCACCTGCATTGGGCATCCCTCGATCACAATTGCAAAGTCTCGCGTAAACGACAACACTTGCGACTGCCCAGACGGTTCGGACGAGCCCGGCACGGCCGCCTGTGCATACCTCGACCACCTCTCACCCTCTCAGCCGCTGCCCGCCTCCCTCTCAGGCTCCACCAACACCACCAATGCACTACCCGGTTTCTGGTGTGCTAATGAGGGTCACGTTGGTGCCTATGTGCCATTCATGTTCGTCAACGATGGCGTCTGCGATTACGATTTGTGCTGCGATGGTAGCGAAGAGTACAAGAAGATTGGAGGCGTCAAGTGCCAGAACCGATGTGCAGAGATTGGCAAGGAGTGGCGTCGGGTTGAGAAGGAGCGCACGGATAACCTCGAAAAGGCCAACAAGAAGCGCCGCACCATGGCCAAGGAGTCCAAGGAGCTCAGGCGGCAGGTCGAGGCCAAGATTGAAAAGCTTACCACCGAGATCAAGGAGTTGGAGCACAAGAGAGACGACTTGAAGAAGAAGTATGATGAGGTTGAGCGCAGCGAACGTGGCAAGGTTGTCAAGGACGCTGGAACTGGAAAGCTGGGCCAATTGGTCGTACTGGCTCGGGGCAGAATCAATGAGCTTCGCGATGCTCTTGGCCTTGTCATCAACCAACGAGACGAGTTGAAGGTCAAGGTTGCCGAGCTGGAGGGTATTCTGGCCGCCTTCAAGGAAGAGTATAACCCCAACTTTAACGATGAGGGTGTCAAGAAGGCCGTCAGAGCATTTGAAGACTATGCTGCCAAGGTCGTTGACAAGGCGGACGAGGCCGAGGATGACGTCACCGAGGTTCTCGAGGAGGACAGCGAAAGTAATGGCATCAACTGGGCCGAGTACGACGATGTCGAGGTTACAGACACCGATATTCGTAAGTTAATTTCCCCGAATCACCGTCACTCTGTTTCCACCAACTACCGAGAGGCCTGATAACTGACTAGGATACAGTCTACAACCTAGAAGCCTATCTGCCTGGCCCTGTCCGGGACTTTGTCCATGACAAGATCAACTTCTTGCGTATCTGGCTTATCGAAAATGGAATGCTTGCCGACAGCCCCGCAGGAAAGGGTGAATCGCGTCTGGTTGCTGCTGCTCGCGAGGCTTACCAATCCGTCGAGTCCGACATCAAGGGAAAGCAGCGTGAGGCTGATGACAAGAAGAAGGACCTGGACAAGGACTACGGCCGCGATGATATCTTCCGATACCTCAAAGACAAGTGCGTTAGCACTGACAGCGGAGAGTACACATATGAACTTTGCTGGATGGGCAAGACTTCGCAAAAGTCCAAGAAGGGAGGTGGCTCTACCAATATGGGCAACTTTGAGCGCATTGACACTGAGGAGAGCGACGAGGAGGACAGACACGATGGCAAGGGCCTGGGTAGAGGCAAGCGTGTCGTCTTGAGATATGAGAACGGACAGCACTGCTGGAACGGCCCGAACCGCCGTACCGATGTCTGGCTGGGCTGCGCCGAAACTGAGGAGCTTTGGAGGGTATCTGAACAAGAAAAGTGTGTTTACAAGATGGAGGTGGGCACACCCGCTGCCTGTGAGGAGGCGGTTGAGCCTGGCACGCGTGGACGAGATGAGCTGTAATCAAACAAAAGAGATGAGCTTGGCCAAGAGCCTCGAACGATGTTTTGATACAATATAGAAAGAATACAGTAGACATTTCGATAGCATTTCTCGATTCAAAAAATCGAAGCACACCATGAAATTCAGCATACTTATGACACGAATAGTTTTCCGGGTGCTTCTATCATTCACGAAGTATGAAGTATGAAGTGACCGCTGAATCCTGATTACCGTCCCAACCAGACCTCTGCATATTTAGTTCGCTTGAAGGCAAGTCACAGCTGCCCCGCCAACGGAACCCTACCCAAGCAAAGTGATTATATTGCAGATACAAGTCTTGCTCATATGGTATGTCTGATATCTGGCTCGGGCTTTGCATGATGCCTCACCTGACAGTTTCTCTCTTGAGGCTTTCGTTGATTTTTCGCCGCTTGTTGTTCTCTTCTTGCTCAGCCAACACCCGCGCGGTCAATGACGCTGTCATGGCATTGTTGATACGACTGTCGATGCCACTCGAACCCTTGTCCTTCTTCTTTTCCTTCTTGTTCTTGGCGCCATCTTCAGCGTCACCGTTGGTGACATCCTCTGCTTTGCGCTTCTTTTTGTCTTTTGTCTTGTCCTTTTTGAGACTATGCGATAACCCCTGGGCTTTTAAACTCTCCAATCTCTGCTTTAATTTCGCATGCTCTTCCTCTGACGTGGGTAGGATCGGTATCAAGTTGCTTTCCTCAAAGGTTTCACTGCACTCGGGGCAATGCTGCTCGCCGGACCCTTTGGTTTCCGAGCCGGATATCTCCTTCATTGCCACTTCTGCGAAAGCATGGCCGCAGGGAACAATGTATATTGCTTTTGTCGAGGCACCAAGCTCCTTGAGACTGATCGGACATGCCCTGAACTCCCGTCCCTTCTCATCCTTGCGCACTGTGAACTTGACCCTTATAACGTCCTTGAGGCTCTTGATGCCTGATTCCCGATATGCTTCTAGCTGAGCCTCTGGTACACTTCCGTCTTCGCTTGGGAGCAAGCACTGTAAGATCGACTCGTAGTTGTATAGCCGCCCTCTCCCGTCAGAGACAGTATTGGAGTAGTCGAGAGGCAGTGATGATAGGGGACAGAAGTTCCATAGATGCGTTAGAGACTCGAGCAATGTCTCTTTTAATTCCGTGGCCGTAGGAGCCCGCGCCGCGTTTTTGACCAGCTCGCGGCGCTTTGGAATGGAGCCACCATCATTTCCCATAGTCGCGCCTAGTATCGAAAGGTTCTGAAGT